AGGAAAGTCACGTGATAGGCGTAGTACGCACTACGCAGTAAAGTAGAAGAATATTAAGTCAAGTGATTAAGATATCAGCTGATTAATTTGTAGATCATCTGTCTCTTATACACATCTAGATGTGTATAAGAGACAGGTAAAGTAGAAGAATATTAAGTCAAGTGATTAAGATATCAGCTGATTAATTTGTAGATCATGACGAAAATCTATAATTAGAAAACTTTACAAAAGAAGAAATGAGATTGTAGATCAAAAATGAAGAAAAATTAAAATTTCAAAAACATGAAAAGTATCAAGTACTAATACTTGGAGTTTTGATGAATACGGTTGCATATATGAAAAAGAAATTTCAGAATTTGACATAAAACATAGTAAAAGGGTATGCGTAGTTAAACTGAACTATTAGAAAAAGATTTTTCTGATTCAATCAGTGAAAAAGATGTGCAGTAGTTACTATATACGGATTCTTATAAATATCCGATCAATTTGACTTTGATGAAAAATCAGAAGCATATTATTGTTCCTACTTTAGATTAAGAGCATTTTCTCATCTAACAATGTCAGTAAAGGTCCGTTTAATTAAACAGAATGTTAATTAAGTATGTTTGCTGTCTAGAACCATGATAAGTTGGACAATTTGGTATCTCCTTCGGGTAAGGTATCAGTACGTCCTCCTCTCAATCTTCATGGAACTGGGTAAACATAATATAATTTAATTCTTCTTTTATATAAACGTGACCTGAATTCAAAGCGTCAGAGAAACACATTTCGTAAACGGATTCCTAGATTAATACGGTCCCGATTTTTATAAATCATTAAAGGACTTCAATCTTCCTTTACGTACTTTATGTAAAAAAGATGGAAAAATTCCATTACCTACGTACTTTACGTAAAAAAGATGGAAAAATTCCATTACCTACCAATTCGTATTTGTTATTTAGGAAATACGTTTCTGAAATACGCAAAAAAATGTTAAGTACAAAAATGAGCAAATAGATTTAAAATCTATATTTAAAGTCCTGCGATTTTCAGTATGGCAACTTATCCTCTAAAGAGCGAGGGAATTTTGCTTGAGATATCTCTAAAAATAATTAAATTTTACTTAGATATTTTCTTACAAAAACCCTTTGAGATTTGAAAAGATAATTATTTCTTTATAAAACTCAAATTTAATTTGCATTAGAATAATTAGTAAGTAATTCTCGTCATTCACCAACAATTTGATGGTTTCTTATTTTACGAATTTTTCCTTTTTCTTTAAAAAGTTTTTTACGAATTTTTGTTATAAATATCCTAAAGTTTTATCAGATCCTTTTTTTTTTTTAAAAAAAAAAAAAAAACTTTTGGCATCAAAAAAATTATTTTAAGATGAACACGAACGAACGCATTATTAAATTAATTGTATTCGGATTCATTGTATTCTTTGTTTGTATTGTTTGTATTGTTGTTGTATATAACAATTATGACATGAAAGCGGACTACCAACAATTCAGTCTAAAATTGTCAAAAAACCGCGACGAAGACTACATGAATGAAATCGTAATGAAATCACACTACCGTAACGAAGTTGTCTACGAAGAAACCGTAGCGAAGTCATATTACCGTAACGAAGTTATCTATGATGAAATCTACATTTGTAACGAAAAAACCCGTAGCAAAGTGACATTACGACATCCATATAATTGAATATTACAAAAATTTAAATGCTCAAAATTTTTACTACTATATATAAATATTCCTTTTACATATTTTAACATAATTTAACTTCAAATTTCATATTTTAATTATTTTATTTTTTATTTTTATTTATTACGAATATAAATGCTTTATGTTCCTTTATAAAGTTCAATTATTTTTTAAAAGTTGTGCAAAAATAAATCGTATTCTTTTAATAATTTGTTAACTCATGTTTTAAATAAATGAGTGAATAAATCGGATCGCGAATATTTTTTAATCCAAACTATATTCATATATGAACCATTTTGTATAATTGATATGTATATATGTATCCTTTCACCACTTGATTCTACGGTTTACTTATGGTTAACGAATGTTAAATGATATAGATATATTATACGAAATATTCCAAATATTTTGTCGAATACTTCAAATTTTGTAAAATTTAAATTTCGTTCGATTAAAAAGTTGAATGTATAATATGATTAAAACGATTAATCATATTTTTGAATCTGTCCTAATTGTTACCTTGCTATTTTTCGGTAAAATTACTAATAAAGCATTTATTAACGCTACAATTTCACTTCTAAACGATGACTAACTAACAATATGAATTAGCAGTTTCAAAATCCATGTATCTTTGAATATCGAATAGATTATTTTCATACATTAAATTAATAAATTAATTAATATAATTCTCGAATTATTTTTCTTTTTGTTAATTTTATTGCTAATTCTTAAAATTTTTCTATATTAGCCACATGACTCGCCAAATCAATATTATCACACCTTTTGAATTATCTTCATCTCCTGTAGATCAACTTTTATATCCTTTTCGCCACATTTTCTTTCAGCTTCCGTCAGTTAAACCTATTATATCCCAAGAATTATTTTTGATCTTTCGCTTAGCATATATTTTTTCTTTTCAACACCTAATCCTTGAATGATTGATAATTTTGTTAAATCTAACTTTTTTTTTAATTAAATTCCCTTCAATTTCATTAACCTTTACATTACTCCCATTTTCTATATTTAAATTGTCCAATTCTATATTGTTTATATTAGTTATTATTATTGTTTATGTTAGTTATTTATTTTGTTTTATTATTCGCACCCTCTAACACCAAATTCGTCTCCTTAACCTCTAAAATGTTATTATTGTTGAAATTGTGAATTTTAGTACAAAAATCTCGTACTATTATTTCTTCACCCGTTGTCGCTATTATCTATTTTCTCGATTATTATCTTTTTCAGACATCTTATCTTTAACTAATATTCCTTCAACATGTGTAGTTTCGAAATCTGAAAAAAGTCGTACTTTGTTTGCAGAGTTTCATAGAGCTTCAATTTCTTTTTTATATTTTCTTACTTCTATATCATATCTTCTTTCAAAATTACTTTCTGTTCTATAAATTTTCCATTTCGTCTTCACATCTATCTTATATTAACTCACACAACCTTCTTATAATGATAACGTATAGATCTTGCTAAACGGAATCCAGTCAATATTTACGAATAAGATCTAATGTTAAACATTTCAGCAATTAACAACGAATCTTCAGATGGAGTTTCCAAGTTTAAAATACCATAATAATTAAGTGTATTGTGAAAAGAGAAAAACTATATAAATAAATACTTACCATCTAGTCTGATCCCTCACGTAACAATTGTTGCATATTATTATTAATTTTGTCCTTAGAAAACTTTTTCTTGATTTAAGAATGGTCAGAACAACTTAAGGTTCCTGTTCCATTCGATTTTGTCCAATCTGAGAGATCCACAATTCGGAATTCAATTGACCTGATATTTAGTGATTAGGTAAACACATTATGCAGTCACAATAACATACTGCACTCGCAAATTATCTTTTTTTAATCGTTCAATAACATTTATTCAAATTTCTTCGAGATTTAGGTTTGAGAAAAGTAAGGCAGATACCTGCAATTGCACATTAAAAGATGACAGATATGATTAAAAAGGTGGTTCAAATAAGCGAAGATGTTCTCATTATATTATTACCTTACTTGTAATGATTTTGTCAATTTCTGGTCAGTTTGAAATCACTTCTGTGCGTGCTGACAACCTGACGCCAAACATCAACGCGACTGTTAAAAAGACCCGTGATCCTGTGCTACGATCAACACATAAACCTCATTACGCTTAATAAGTGAAAATGGTGGTTTTGTATTTAGTTTGTAAAATTCTTTATTGAATTTTATTTTTCCCTATAGATTATTATGATAAAGTTACATGCAGCCAGGTATTGATAAACCACTTGAATAAAATAATGTCATAATCGAGTTTAGTGTTTATGAAGATGTGTTATGAGTGCAATTCATCGATGTTGGGATGATAACCCTCTAAAACGACCTAAAGCAAATGGAACTGGGAATGTTATTTGATTATAAGGGAGAAATTATTGATAAGAAAAATACAGAGATCCGTAAACAAGTTAAAGAAACAGATGAAATTAGCCGTAATAAAGATTTACCATCATTAAAAGCACTTTTATCAAATACTAATACATACAAGTAGAATTTTTAGATTTTAAAGATCTTCCAGTAAGAAGGTAATTTACATTAAATATTATTTTTAAAATTTTTTAATTAAATTCATAATTAACTTTTTATTGTATTATGTAAATAGATGAAAATAATTGTTACTACATTTCTTATCTTCTTCAATACACATTATTAATAAGTCAAAAACTTTTGTAACTTTAGATGACATTTAATGTTGAGATGTAGACCTTCTAAAGTGAAAGAAATATTTATTTATGGAAGGGATTAACAAACGATTAGCACAACACTTCTAGTACATGTTTAAAAGATAAAAGAACTGGATAATAAATTCCAAATATATACTTGTGAAAACAAATGATAAAAATTGGAAGGCAATTTTTTTTAAACACGAGATGGAAGAATATAGGATTAGCGATGATGTATATGAACAAATAAAAGATTTCTCCTTTCGCAACTTGACCGAAGAACAAGAATTATTTGTGGATAAACTAATATTAAATAAAGAAATAAAAGAACGCTACAAAGAATCCGGGTTATGTAAAGGATGTAAACAACCCAAAACCACCGTTTCTTGGTGTCAGTCATGTAGTTCTAAACGATTTCAAGAAGAATTTAAAAATTGGACTAGTGGAAATCCCGAAATTGATAAATTTATTCAAAGCATACAAATAAAGGCTAACAAAGAACAAATTATAGAGTGGATTGAACACAAAAACTTCGAAAATGTTGAATATTTAGCTAGTATTTAGCTAGGGAGGTTTTGGAACCATCTATAAAGCAATTTGGAAACAAGGAAATATATACACTTGGAATTTTGATAACAATCGTTGGCAAAGAGATCAAAAACGTGTTGTCTTAAAATGTATACATAACTCACAGGATAATATAGCCGAACTTTTAAGAGAAGTAAAATATCATTTTCTCCAATTTTTAATTGAATTAGCATTTTAAGCACTGAATTAATGTAAATTTTTTCAGGCTGAATTACATGTTATTACGAATGAATGTGGAAGTGTCGGAGTGATTCGCTGCTATGGTTTTACTAAAAATCCAGAAACAAACGAATTTATGCTGATAATGGAACGTGGGATAAATGGTAGTTTAAGGCAGTATCTAGATAAGGATTTTATTTCACTGAGTTGGATGAATAAGTTGGATGCTTTGAGATATATAGTACTTGGTATTGGTAAAATCCATGAACGAGGATTAATTCATCGTGATTTTCATTCTGGAAATATGATAAATATGGCTAATCAAATTATTTTTATTACTGATTTGGGATTATGTCGACCAATGAATGCTCAAAACAATGGTACGTATGGAGTTTTACCTTATGTAGCTCCCGAGGTTTTAAGAGGAAAAGAATATACTCAAGCAAGTGATATTTATGGATTTGGAATCATTGCATATGAAATCTGTACTGGATTACCCCCTTATCATGATATTGCTCATGACAGAACCTTAGCTGTTAATTTGTCAAGGATTAAGACCAAAGTCCAATTATAAAATTCCTCAATTAATTTTAGACATAATTCACTGATGTTGGGATAATGACCCTCTAAAACGACCTAAAGCAATGAACTGGGGATTTTATCTGTTTATAAGAGAGAAATTATTGATGAGAAAAATACCGAGATCTGTAAACAAGCTGAAGAAGCAGATGAAATTAATAAAGATTTACCATCATTAACAGCACTTTATCAAATACTAATACACTCTCATATAGTACGCATCCTCAAGCAATTTATACAAGTAGAATTTTAGATTTTAAAGATCTTCCAGAATCCAATTTAATCAATTTAAGAATTGATTCTGAAGGTATTTACATTAATATTGTTTTTTAAAATTTTTTAATTAAATTCATAATTAACTTTTTATTGTATTTATTTATGTAAATAGATGAAATGATTGATAAAAGAAGTCAAGAAAATTGTCAAAGAAATAGAATTTTTTTCATTTAATTTTAATTTATAATAAATTAATTTAAATATTTTTATATTAATAAATATATACATTTTTAAAGAATCATCAAATATTGATTTTGTCATACTTCTCTATTTATGTACGAACTAATTTTAATTATGTTAATTAAATCTTTTGGATTTAATCAATCGTTAATAATGTTACTTTGATTGGACTACATTTCTTATCTTCTTCAATACACATTATTAATAAGTCAAAAATTAGATGACATTTAATGTTGAGATGTAGATCTTTTAAAGTGAAAGAAATATTTATTTATGGAAATTTTATAATTAATACAAAAGTGAAGGATTAACAAACATTACAATACTTCTACACGTTGGTCTTGTAATTATAGACCGGCATTCACCATGAATCTGTGTTCTCATGTCATTCCTGGGTAAGAAAGATCAAAAATTTAAACAATCAAATAGTAAAGTCGAAATGAAACAAGAAGTATTCATAGTATCGAATTTTTTTCTATTTTGTCATTAAAAGATTTTATTAATTTTTATGTTAATATTATAATTTTTAAGATACCACTACTCTGTCCATTTAACAATCATTTTATTTTATTTGATGAATAATAATTATTTATAATTTTCATTTTCCCTGATTTTTCGATGTTTTCTCATTTCCTTAAGCCATTTTTTTTAAAAAAATCACGTGAACCCCATGAGACAGGTTTACCGTATTTATCGCCAAAAAAATTCAATCAAAAATAGAATTTTACCAATACAATTTTTTTAAAAAATCCTTCTCTTGGTCCATTTATTATTTCTTCACTTTATTCATTCATTTTTTCCTTTCCCATTAATTATAATATAATGGGTATTATTTTTAAAGATCAAATTAATTAAAAAATAAAAATTTTAAGTCAAGACTTTAGAAACGCCGACATCTTATGTATGCTAATTTTCTTTATATCAAAACCCGCAAAATTATTGAAGGATTATAGGGGAGAACGTCCAACATAAAATGGCCCACGGAGTCTCACGCCTGTCTTGGTAAATATTTTACTTTAACTTCATATTAGTACATTATATATTAATGTTTTTATTTAACATTAGAGGGCAACTACGGGAAAGTCTATACGGTTAGGGAGAAGTTTGAAAGAGAGCTTTCCCAGTAAATTGGCTAAAAAGGAAGGTTTGGACGAGGAACAAGGTCATTCACCAAAAAACGAAGCTTAAAAACCTGTATAAAATGACAAAGTTCTTGAATGGTTGAGAAGACGAAGAAGGCCAGAAAAAAATGAAAATGATAATTAGATTAGCCTTAGACGAGAACAAAATTCTTGATGAAAGTTTCATAAGACAATCAAATTCACAAATTTATTAAGCTTGTGAAAATGATATTAGATATCGTGAGTAATTTGACGGCTTTTTTCTATAATAAATTTATATAATGATTTAACTTATTATTCTGTTTCATTCATAGAATTTGAAAGTATTTGATATGTTTATGAGTGATGAAATCATGGTCATATATAAAAAGTTCTCTATTGATGCAGTATATGGAAAGTTTGGATGGTGAGAGTTAGCTCAACAGGAGAAACGGACGTTGGAGTGATCTTGCACTCCAGAATATAGCTTATACATCATAGTTTATTTTAACTTCACATTAATACATTATATATGTATATATATATATTTTATTTAACATCAGAGGTAACTGCAGGGAAGTCTATTCAGCCAGGGAAGAGCTTCCCCATAGGAAATTAGCGCAACAGTAGCAGAGAGATGATGGACGAGGACATTATATGCCAAAAAGGAAACTATACGAAATGAAAGTGGAAGATATAGAAAATGAAAGAGTTCATCTCAGATTGATGTGACCCTAGTTTAGAATCATGTAATGCAATTTTTAAATTTCACCTTTCAATTGGATAGAGGCGCCCATCAACCTTAGATATCATAGTTTCAAATCTCTTCGTGACATTCTTGTTATATAGAAATTGCAAAGAGGTTTCTGTGTTCAAGTTGGAAACCAGTGAACAAAAATTCTCTTAAAAGTATAATAATTGAAAATGAATATCTAGATCTGATAATTTATCACGTTGGGACAATTAACTTTTTGTATTCATCAACACCTGATGATTGTAATGGTTTTTCATTTGATTGAAAAATTATAAGTACAATTTTGTAATACATTTTGTTATAAATGAATTTTATATGATTCAAAATTTGAAGGCTTTAACGTGAAAATCTATACATCACTACATACAAAAACAAAGTATTAACCAGAAATAATGATTTTTCCAAGAGAACAAAATGTCAACCAATTGATTATCATTAATAATAACAATTAAACGCTGAAACAGTTCTCAGAATTATAAAATTTCATCAATGAACTATCTTAAAAATGTCATTAATTTAATAGGTTTAGTTATAATTTTATGTTAAAAGTACAAATTTGCAACATAGATATCTGATTACTATTAGAGAATCATATTAATGAAAAAAAAAACAGCAGATTTTTGATAGTTTAGAATTTAGTTCTTTCTTAAATGAAATCAAATAAAATTTTCTATAATTATATATGGTATTTGAAACAATACAGGGATTATTAATCCAAGAATAATCTCCTTTTATAACAATCTTAAGTGGATCCTTCAGTATATAGTACAATGAAAAATAGATCTTAAAGAAAAACAGAAGACTAAGTAGCGACCTTTGGTAACAATATCGAGTACTCATCCTCTTGATTGAGGATTTCTTCGTCTCTCCAAACGATATTCTTGTAGTTATTTGTATAAATACTCAAATTGTTTTATGTGAAAGAATAGCAAACTTTCCCCATAGAGGAGGGATAAAGAATTTTTTAAAAACATTATAACAAAACATTTGGTTAATCTTAAAAGATAGCAATTCTGAAAATGGAAGAAATTGATCACTTTATCACCTTGTACACATTAATTTTAAATTAATGACTTTACCATATTTTTTACCTAATGTTATAGGAAGAGACGCAAAAATGATTTGAATATTGATAAAAGAATAAGATAATTTATTTACAAATATTAGATAGCCCATTATATACTAGAATTGTTTAATACAAAACATTTGAATGTAAACGGCGATAAAAACAAATAAACTTGAAAGTGAATTCATCTAAAAAAAAAAGAAATTAATGATAAAAAGAATAATTTGAACATAAGAATATTAAGGTTGAATAACTTTTACCAAATCAATGTATAAAAACTTTTCCCGATCACTTTTACAAAAATCGGTAAGGTCAAATAAATATTCTACGATAAATAAATAATCTTTATCGATTTCCAAATGACCGAATAAAGGGTGACTCCATTCTATGATATATGGTTTGTAATCAATTTTATGAAGTTTTAAATGACCGAGTAGACCGTAATTCACATTTGCGGAACATTTATGTTTGATGAATAATGTAATTAGTTTATTTTCAATTGGTTCATTATGTAAAAGAGCAAATTGATAGCCTATATTGAAGGTATATAACATTATTAAACATAATAAAATAAATTTAATTAAACGCATAACTGATAATAACAAACGAAGATAAAATGAGAATGAAGAATGTTTATGTTTATTAAATTATTTTTTGGGCTATTTATATATTTTACCGTAAAAGGCTGATTAAGGTACCGTACAATACTATAAAAGGTAATTTAAATTATTCTTTACTTTTTTAGTAAATTACGTATGGATCTGTAGAAATCTGAGGAATAAATATGGATAAATCTGAATATGATAAAATATTATATTCTTCTTGAATAAGAGACGTGATTTGCATATTGATTATATTGATTAAAAGACCATTTTCTAATTTATTACAAAAAAATTTAGATGACTCGTTAAATAAATAAATAAAAAAGAATATAAGTAATATATTAACTAGAAATATTTACATGTAAGATTACTTCTTTTATTTTCAATTAATAATGAAGATGATTAAAAATAAAAAAAAATGATATCTAAAAAAAATAAAAAAGATATTTTAAAAAAAAATGAACATAATAACTTCAAGATTGATACTTTACCGAAAGATTCAATTTCTATATAAATTTTGACAATTCTCCCTTCGATCGATTTTATGAAATTTGAAATGGCCAAATAAATCATGTTTCCATTCTACGTTATAACCTTGATCTAAGGCATATTTTGTTAATAAAGCAAAAATTATTAAAATTTTAAAAATCTCCATTATTAAGGAAAATAAAAAAAGGAAGTATATTTTAGTGTCATATTTAGGGCATATTTATAGAATAAAATCAACAATAAAAATATTATTTAGTTGATTCGTTTGAACAAGCGGGGTAATTGATTGCATAATGAGATCATTATATACATTGTAGACCATTGTTCATTAGTATGTATTAATATACATTTTAAATAGATCGACTAATGTGTTAATTCATTGTATGAAAATTATTTCCTTTCCCGGATGCTTGGTGATACAAGATGAGTCATTCAATGAAGGTTCTCGTGATACGCACATCATTTACTCATATATTCCCTGTATTTTGTGCATTTTAAAATGTATTATTTTGTATTTATCGTAGATGAATAAATGCTTACATAATAAATATGGGATAAAATAGTTTACGTTAATTCATATGTTCAATATTAAAAATCTTTACATTGTTTACCAAATTGGCAAAGTTGTGTAGTCATTATTATCTTATTTTATTGTTATATAGCACTGTACATTACTGTATTTACGTTTATGCAGCTACATGTGCTCCCATTATTATATTATATATATTAATAATGATATTTTACGTTAATAATATCAATTATGTGATATTATTATTTAATATATCGTTAAGTCATGTGGATTAATGTTATAATACACAATTAGACAGACGCCAATTAAATAATAATACATGGTTAACATCGTCATAATACACAATTCAACAGACGTCAACTAAATAATAATACGATTTTAGCCATCGTCAGCATTTAAAAAATTTTATAAATATGTTTTTCCTCGTAAAATTCCAAATATTTTATTTCTTAAGTAATGGATGTCTGTTTTACGGTCATCGTCATTGTATCGCTTTGCAGTATAACCTATATCGCAAAATATTCAATCGATAACAATTATAAAATTGAGGCAAAGATGCAGTATCTTGATTTATCTTTGTGTAGAAATCAATAAGAATTATTGCGGTAAGTTAATTTTTAATTATGCTATCTAACGCGAAGTCGAAGACATTACCTAAAAAAAAGAAACTATTTTTTTGCAATATCTTCTATATTCGAAATTTAAAACCAATTTTATGACATTTTTAGTCCACAAATTTGTCTATATTCTTTAATTACACATTATTATTATCTTTTATTATATTTTTAATTACAGTATATTTATTTAATTGTTTTTTTAAATTGTATTATTGTATTTTCAGAATTCAGAGTTTTAATCTACGATAAAACTATTGTAGTATTGTTATTACTTGTATTATTTATTTGTCAAAAATCATTAAACATTGTGATAATTATAATAATGAAAACTTAAGTATGGCTGACGTTTAGATTACAGATTATGTTTCTTTTTCATTTTTTTCTTTTTAAAGATGGATAAAAGTTTATCAAAAAAATCTATTATGTATATTACAAAGTTTAAATGTTATTTCACAATGGCCCAGTCAGCTCAGTCGTGAAACACTATTAAATTGTGTTCAAAACTTCGTATAACTGATTGACATTTGATCAAAAAATTAATCAGGAATCGAAACCGGAAAAAATTTACTTCTTTGAAAGTACATCATGAAAGCAAATTACCATATTACAGTAACACGTGTATCAATTGTAACCAATGTAACGCAAAGATGAAAAAAGTACAACTGCAAAAGCAATACGATTATGCAGCTTGGCTGAAATCCACTTAATGTATGTTACATGAAGAAAATTGTATAAATAGAAACGAACTGCTGATATTTTTGACCTTTTGCTCGCTTCTTTCATTATGAACTATTAAGTTAAAGTGAAGTTCCAAAACGACCTCTTTGCATAACTAATTCCCTAACGTTACGCTGGGAACTATAATTTATTTCACTTTTAACTCTGGATTTCATATAAAAAGCGTTAAGAAAATATTAATTTGTCATCAATATAATTTTGCGGAAGATTTTAACATTGGATACTGCGCCATAAAAATGGTTTTTTTTTTACTGCGCATAATTTTTTAATATAAATACGTTCCTCCATTTCCTTCCTTTTCGGAATCAAAAAAATTTTTTTAAACGTCCAATTTTGCATCACGTGCATCATACAAAAATGAATTTTATATTTATATGCATCAGTATCACTACGTCACGCCAATTCAGTTACATTTCGATGAGATATTATTGGATGACAGGAAAATCCACTATTATGGTCCTCAAGATCTTAAGATCCTTCCGGCGACTATCGACTCTGGAAGATCTGCTTCGGTTTATGCTGCAAAATGGAAGAATACATCAACGATATATGCAATTAAAAAATCTGTTGATAATAAAGAAGTGTGTTACTTATAACAATTCGTTATTAAAAATAAAATATTAAGAGTTCCTTTTCTTTCTAGATTTATTTAATGAATATGGCTAATTCGCATAAGAATATAATTCATTTTCACGGAATTACGAAATCAGACGGTAAATTAATAATTATGCATTATCTACTATGATAATTTTTTATATGTTGACATTTTTTAATATTCTTAGATGAAAAAAAATATTCGCTTGTTCTTGAATACGCGGACGGCGGAACACTTAGAGATTATTTAAGAAATAATACTATAACTTTTAAATGGAAGGACCAATTAAAGTTTGCTAAAGAGATTGCAAGTGCGATTTTATGGTTACATGATGATAGGGAAATCGTACACGGGGATCTTGTAAGTACAATAATGCTATTTTGTAATTCATTTAATTAAAATAATTCACTATATTGTGCAATTATTTTTAGCATCCCAATAATATCCTATTACATCAGAATACGATAAAAGTAGCGGATTTTGGCCATTCGTGTCTAAAAGGATCAGATAATAACGCTGGAACATATGGCGTAATACCTTATATAGACCCTAAATTTTTTGAGACTCATTCATACCGCAAAACCGAAAAATGTGATATATACAGCTTGGGAGTATTGTTCTGGGAGTTAACAAGTCGAAAATCACCTTTCGATTTTGAAAATAAAAAAGATGATGAACATCCTTCTATTATCTTAACGATTCTTAATCGTTTAAGAGAAGAACCTGTTAAGAACACGAATGCTATATTTGTTGAACTATATCAAAGTAAGTATGAAATAATTGTTGAGCAACGATTCCTTTAGAGCTAATATAAATTTTCTTGTTGTTGTAAACTAATTGAATAGAATGCTGGGAACACGAACCAGATAAACGACCAGATATTCACCAAGTAAATTCAGAACTTGATAGCATTGATTCTGAAAACATCGATGTATCTACTGTTTCTCCTAAAAAAAGCGAAGAAGAAAGTAAAGAAACGAAGTTTGTACACATTCGTGTCAAATAGATATAGATAAGATTTGCCAAAAGCATTGAATTATTTATATACCCTTTTTTAGATTTTCCGTTATTTTGCTGTTTTACTATTCTGATTGGGTACCTTTTTTTATCTTAAAATTTACAAAGAACATTTATTTCTTTTTAAAGTAAATAAAATGTTAGATTTTTATTATATACTATTTGTGCGACATTCAATAACTCATTTTAATTAAATATGGCGCGATTATTAATTTATTATACATAACTTTATTTGAATCCAAAAAAATGCATAATATTATTGCATTTTGTGGTAGCATAGTGGATCTCATGAAACTGAATAGATATTCAACGCACAACAATATATTTCATAGTCTAAAATATGATTCCGCATTTTTATCTATCAGATAATATACTGTTTTGTCAAAACGAAAAAATCTTTACTTCGGTGAAACATATGTTCCAAGTGTGAACACTATTAATGGTCAAGACAATCTTTATTACGTCATTTTCCCTTGTATATGTGTTTCTAGAAACCGAAAATCCTACCAAGCTTATTTCTTATCAAGGATATTTATTAAGAATATTCGATAACGGTCCTTTGTACTTTTGTTTCTTGTTTCAAGCAATAGCTCAAATTCATCCATAGTGATGTTATAATTATTATCTAACAACTCTTCTAATATTTTGATCATACCATCTCGTTCATCTAGTTCAAAGCCTTTGTTTTAAGAATTCGCTTCTCGAATAAAGCATTTTTTGCTTCATACCATTCACTCTTGCCTAACTCGAATAATAAATAATTTTATGTAATCTCCAATACTTTCACTGTTTAACGTGTCTTTTAACTAGTTTCAGTGTCACTTACATACCGTATAATGCATACGTTATGTCGATCAAATCTATTCTATTACGATTTGTTTAATCAAATTATCCATTCTAATGATCGACCATTTGTTTAATCGGTTTCCATTCTAATATTCTTTAAAAATTAAATTACCCTATTCGTTTAAATTACTTTTCATCTGGATATAAAAGGATCTGATTGGTGCTCTATAATTTCCATTTGTTTAATCAAAATTATTCATTTCATTTTGATGATCATCCATTTGTTTAATCTAATGAATAACTGATTACTCTATTCGTTTAAAAGGATCTGATTGGTACATGGTGATACTGCGCAGATTTCCCTGTAGAACTATATTAAGGATAAGTTTATCAATTTTTTTTTTTTACGGTTTCAACTTTTTTTTTATTTTTTTGATAATGGAAAACAGATATATTTTGATTTTACTTATAATTATAGTTTTTATTATGTGGCTTGATGCATCATCAAAACATGCACTTGATAATTGTACTTTATATACCGCCATATTCATATTTCGGTTTTCAATTGTTTGGAACTTCAAATTAGGGAAAATTTTTTAAATGCGTAAAAAAATAAAATAAAGAATCTAATATTTAATGCCGTCTTCCGTTAAAGATTCGCAAATCAAGAGCCTGGACCTAAAAAGAAAGAAAGGTTAGAACAAATGAAAAAGAACAAACAAAAAAGAGAAATAAGAACAATATGTGCCGTCTTCCGTTAAAGATTTGCAAATCAAGAGCTGGGACCTAAAAAGAAAGAAAGGTTAAAACAAATAAAAAAGAACAAACGAAAAAGAGAAATAAGAACAATATGTGTAAAGCTCCGCATGAGCCAGCTTGAGCTGAGCCACAGTCTGGCTTGGCTCAGCTCAAAAAAAAAAAATTCTGGCCTGAGCCAGAATAAGCTGAGCCATAAAAATTTCGGCTCAAGCTAAAGTGAGCTGAGCCGAGCCATAAAAATAATGGCTCAAGCAAAGCCAGGCTCGAGCTTTATCTTCAGAAAAATGTTTTGCAACATTTTTTATTAAAGCATTGAAATAAACGTTGTGAAACGTTTTTTCTAAAATAATATTGTGAAAAAAACGTTTTTACAACATTTTTTTTAATTCTTTAATAAAAAACGTTTCGCAACATTTATTTCTAAAATAATATTGTAAAAAAAACGTTTTTGCACCGTTTTTTATTAAAGAACTTAAAAAAACGGTGTGAAACATTTTTTTCTAATATAATATTGTGAAAAAAATGTTTTTGCAACGTTTTTTTATTAAAGAACTTAAAAAAATGTTGCGAAATGTTTTTTTCTAAAATAATATTGTGAAAAAAACGTTTTTGCAACGTTTTTTACTAAAGAATTAAAAAAACATTGTGAAATGTTTTTTTCTAATATAATATTGTGAAAAAATCGTTTTTGCAACATTTTTTTATTAAAGAATTAAAAAAAACGTTGTGAAACATTTTTTTCTAATATAGGGGGTCTTCACAAAACCCGTGATTGAGATTGGGATTGAGATTGGGATTGAGATCTTGAAATTGAGATTAACGTTTCAATCTTGATTCACAAATTTTTGTGTTACATTAGATTAATGATTTACCGTTATGCTTTAAAAATTTTTTTTTTGTACTTTCTTTTAAAATTTTACATAAATTTTTATAATTACATATTATTTTCTCAGTAATGAACAGGGAATTCCAAATTTCAATTTGTATATTAATAATCATTATACTTATTAAATATAATGAATTTGAAGAAAATTTAATTGCTACTTATCAAACTGAACAAGAAGAAGAGGAAGAAAATTTTAACATTTTACCTTTAAACTTGCTATATTTACAACTTAATAAAATAGAAATTAATGAGTGCATCAATTTAAGAAGATTAAATAGATCAATATCTCAGTATTGGTTTAATGAAATATGTTTAAATATGCAAGATTTTGAATTTAAAAGACATTTTAGGTTAACCAGGTCTACATTTGAATGGTTATGCTGTGAAATAATACCACATTTAAGAAGAGAAATTACAGGACCTGGTATAGTTGGACTTGCATGGGAA